GGGGGGGGGGGGGGGGAGCTGGAACCGGTTCTAAATGGCACTGTAGATTTGTGGAACCTCTTCTACAGAAGAGGTTAGAACTGGCAGGAATCCACCCCTGATACATCATATCGTCACAGTCCACAGAAAACCACTCTAAAAGTTCCCATGGTTTTCACCTAATTAAAGAGCAAAAATCCACCCTCCCAGATGTCACTGGTTACATTGTCCAATGAAAATAGCTGCTTGGCCACTCCTCTCCTCCTTTCACAGCCACTTGTTGAGATGACCTTGGTTCTCACAGGAAAACTTTTTGTTTTGACTATTAGCCCGCCGGTCTACTTCCCTAACCCTAACCTTCCCCCCTCTCAGGGTTCATGGCAACTGTGAGGCAGCACAAGATGGCTTCAGCTAAGTTCACTTCAGAGTTGACACCTCCCTTTACAGAACTGTTCCCTGATGCCCAAAAGGTTGGGGGTCGCTGGTCTACAGTATCTTGTATTATTATCCCAGGGGTTACACAGAATGTCCAAGCCTGAGGCAGACTACATGTAAATTGGAAAGAATAATATTCTTCCTGCTTTACTTGGCTCATCAATGTTTGGTAAGATGTGTTGGCTAGGACCAGGCATATCCCAATTCCAGCCACCATCAGCCATAGAAATTAATAGCTGATTTTGAGTTACCTCAGCCTGACATTTCTCTCTTGGATTTCTAGTTGAGAAATGAGTGGACAGAAGACTAGCTATATCACCATGAGCTTCTAGAATTGCAATGTCACTTAATGAATGGATCAATTGCATATAAAGGTAAAGGTTCCCTTCACATATATGTGCTAGTTGTTCCTGACTCTAGGGGGCGGTGCTCATCTCCATTTCAAAGATGAAGAGCCAGCGCTGTCCAAAGACGTCTCCATGGTCATGTAGCCGGCATAATTAAACGCCAAAGGCACATAGAACGCTGTTACCTTCCCACCAAAGGTGGTTCCTATTTTTCTACTTGCATTTTTACATGCTTTCAAACTGCTAGGTTGGCAGAAGCTGGGACAANTTAACCTTAAACTGTCTATTGTTGACCTCACCCCATTCCTAAGAGGTCTGTAAGCGCACCAGTGTGCCTACCGTCCCTGTCCTAACAACCCCATTTATTCGTATCCCTTTCATGTATTCATAATCATGTTTATACTTATATTTGTTATCTTATACATGTTTGAGAAAATAAATAAATAAATAAAAAAGTTCCTAAACCAAGTTCCCCATTCTGGATTGAATTCAATTCACAATGTCCTTAGACCAATGCTTCTCAACCTTAATCAGATGGGTAGACTTCAAATCCTGGGAGTTGAATTCTGGGAGTTGAAGTCCTCCCACCCTAAAGTAGCCAAGGTTGAGAAACGCTGTCCTGGATTATTTCTTACCGTAAATTCTGGCAGAGAGTCGATACCTTCCCGTTTAGCCCGGTGTTGAGGGGCCGGCTGTTCAGTAGGAGGCTCACAATACAGGTGGTTCTTCGTTAGGGTCTTGACTGAGCAGACCCCAACTCCAATCATGGCTTTTACTTCATCTTTAGAAATGGCTAGATCCAGATTTTCTCCCTGTAGGAACAGAGATAAGGGCACCCTTGTGAAAAGCTACTCTATACCATGTCAATGGAGATTGTCGGTTAGTTTGGTTGTCCCAAAGGTGCTTTTTCAAAAGGCAACTGGACTTTGTTTTTCTTGGAAGACATTTCGGTTTTCATTCAAGAAGCGTCTTCAGTTCTGACTGGATGGTGGGGGATGGAAGGGTTTAAAGAACTGAAGACGCTTCTTGGATGAGAAGCGAAATATCTTCAAGGGGAAAAAAGGCCAGTTGCCTTTTGAAAAACTCCTATGGTTACTTTACACCAGGGGTGTCAAACTCTATTTCATTGAGGGCCGCATCAGGGTTGTGTTTGACTTCAGGGGGCTGGGGTGGGCATGGCCAGCTTGATGACACTCCTGTCAGGGGACTTGTGGTGGCCCAAGTGCTTTGCCAGCGAAAATGGGCTCCAGAGCTCTGTTTTCACTGGCAAAGGATTGCAGGAGGCTGTGGCAGCCGAAAACGGAGTTTGAGAACCTGTTTTTGCTGGCAAAAGCACTGTGGTCCAGTCCTTCGCTGTTTCCAGGGAGCCCCCGCGGTCCAGATCTAAGTACCCTGTGGGCCAGATCCATCCCCCAGGCCTTGAGTTTGACAACCCTGCTCTACACCCATACCAATGAGCTCTCCAACAGCTCATCAACTCCTTCATGAAGTTTCAGATTGTTTGCTCAACTCCAAACATTTATTATATGAAATAATTTAATAAATGCTACTTTACTTAATAACACTATGAATAATATTAATAACAAGAGTATCGACCCCTTGCATTGTCCCATCAATACAGCACTGTCTATTTTGATGGACGCTGGTCTATTCATTTCCAGTTTGCAAATAAATAAACAAAAATAAAAATAGAATAACCACCAGCTTGTTAGGGGCAGGCAAGTTCCAGCTACTTTTCCGTGCTGAGAACCGAGAAGAGATTGAGGGTCCTGTGTTCTTTGTGAATTCCAATTATTACCAAACATGTTCCTGTTCCATCATGGCTTATTACATTCGATAACTAAATTTGAACTCCGTACAAAATACATTCTATCTCAAACCTGTTTGTTTTATTATTCATTTTCTGGCGGTTAAGCTTTTTCTGCGTTAATCTTTCTTTCTCACATTCATTTCACATTTCTCAAAAACTTCCTAAGAGCAAAAAATTGGCTTATGCATCCCCCGCCAGGTGTAGAATCCCACTTCATTTCTCAAATTTTATTCACTGTCATCCTCCTATCCATTAAACCAGATTTCTCTCAAACATTCCCAGGCTACATCCGCAAACCAAGCTCCATGCAGTGTTAGCATTTGTTCTTCCTACTTTGCCATTTGAACAAAGCTGTGTTTTTCAAAGTTGGCAACTTTAAGATGAATGGCCTTCAGTTTCCAGAATTCTCTAGCCAGCAAGTTTGAAAAGCACTGGTATAAAGCAACAATAGTGGCATTCCTCCAGTTCATCAGACATAGATGCACCCCTCATGTACATATTACGTAAGTTTCTAGCTCCCCATAAACAAACCACATCTATATTTTAATCACACCCATAGTTTTAATTCTTCTCTGGTTAATTCATCCATGCCTGCAGCCATATACGTTTTCAACACTCCCTACATTTATGATTTCCTCTTCATCCATTTTTTTCCTACTCCAATCCAGAGATTAGTGCTATGTGACTGGGTGGGTGTGGCCAACTTGTAAAATGTGGTGAAACTCACTTAACAACGCTCTTGCTTAGCAACCAAAATGTTGGCTCAGAAAC